ACAGGAAAGGCCAGACAGTGTTTTTCCTCAATGGAAAATTTAAAGTATTGCTTCCCTTGAAGGACTTCCAGGATGCAGATAAAATATTTTCATTTGTTTCCTTTACAGAAGAGGAGTATCTATAACATACAAACTTATTTAGATACTCACAACTAAACAGTTGTACTGAAAGTTTCACAGTTTTCCAACAGGAGTTTAATGTTCAGGCCTCCTTAGTAGGTAATACACACACACACACACACACACATCTTCTAAGCTGCTTATCCTTCTGGGTCATGGGGGGAGCTGGAGCCTATCCCAGCAGTCATTGGGTGGAAGGCAGGATACACCCTGGACAGAGAATACAAGACTTTCAATTTCACATGGTTTCCAAATGTGAAGTTCAGCTCATTCTCCAGCCAAAAATGAACATGTTTCAAAATAGAAAGTCAAATATTCACTCTTTAATTGAATTTCTTATGTATTATGTCGAAATAATGTCAGATTTTCTGAAAAAAACCCCAAACATATTTATACATTGAAATATTCACACACCTTCTCAATGAGTAATTTTTTGACTTAGTTACTAAGTAGTGTTCCTCTACCTGGCAGAAACAGGCTTTCATATAAAAGTTTTTGGTAGATAGCTCTCTAAACCGGCCCCCATCTGCACAAATAAATTAAAAGAATAAATAAATAAATGAACTAAAAATATCTCTCTCTAACATGAAAACCATTACGCTGTTGACCTAATTACTTTTTCCTGAGGAACGATGAGGAACTAGGAAAAAGAAACCACCAATCACACACAATGAGATTTAATGGTTCTGTGTAAAAGGAGCTCCTTCACAATAATACTACTGCTATAAAGTTAGACTCTTACTTAGTGACACACTGAATATTTGGAAGTTGTGTGGCACTACTGGTATCATGAGTCAGTCAAATGCTGACTGCTATCAACAATGTTACTTCCAGTAGCCCTGAAATATACAGCACTGTGCAAATGTTAGAAACCACTCTTCATTTAATTTACAGTCAAACTGCTTTTAGGTCCAAGATATTATTTTTTCAGCATCAGGAAAAAGCAGGAAACATATATTTAACAGATAATTACATGTGTCTCTACAAATAAATATAATATCACTTTTTGCTGCTTTGTGTGTCCACTCTTTACCTTTATTACAGCTTTAATTTTTTTCAGGAGAGTCACTTTCAGTTGTTCCAAAAAATCTGCAGGGATATTTTTCACACCTCCAAAGTTCAGCCTTAGAAGTTGGTTGCACGATCAAAGTAATCCCAAACACGTTCAGTGAAGTTGAAATCTGGACTCTGGGGTGGTCAGTCTATTGTTCAGAGAAACACCAGCAGCTTCTTCTTTTTGATCAGCAAATTTTCTTCTTTCTTATCTGCTTCCTTTTCTCAGTGAGTCTTCTTAACAGCTACACATCTTTTCAGACCCATAGCGCTGAGTCGTCTTCTCACAGTGGAAGGATGGACAGAAACACCTGTGGATGTTTTCAGATCTGAAGCGGCTTGATTTTCTCCTCTCTCTCAAAGATGAAAGCTTTAAGTGCTGTTTATCTGATGGGCACAGTTTTGGTGTCTACCAAGTCTTCCAGGTGGTCATTAGGTGTCTTATTTTCTCTGTATCTTTTAATCATCGTTTTTTCACTTATTGTTCTTTGACTTTCATCTTCCTCACGCAAGTGGGTTATCGCTTATCTAATATTCTCAGAAATATCTCCTGAAAATGGATAACTTGTACTTAATGGCCCTTTTGACTGATTAAATAAATAAATGGTGGTCTCTGACTTTTGCCCAGTGCTTTACATAAGCATGTATTTCATATTATATATAAATATACACTATTTGGACAAAAGTATTGGGACACCTACACATTCCACCCACATGAGTTTTTAATGACATTCTAAATCTATAAGTATGAATATGGAGTTGGTCCCCCTTTGAAGCTGTAACAGCTTCCACTCTTCTGGGAAGCTTTCTACAAGGTTTTGGAGTGTCTGTGGGAATTTTTGCCGATTCATCCAGAAGAACATTTGTGAGGTCAGACACTGATGTTGGACGCGAGGGCCTGGCTCACAATCTCTGTTCTAGTTAATCCCAAAGGTGTTTGATGGGGTTGAGGTCAGGGCTCTGTGTGGACCAATCAAGTTCTTCCACACCAAACTCACCCAGCCATGCCTTTGTGGTCCTTGCTTTGTGCACTGGGGCTCAGTCATGCTGGAATGGTGAAGGGCCTTCCCCAAACCTTTCCCACAAAGTTGGAAAATTGAAGATTCCCCTATACTGGAACTACGGGGTCTAGGCCAAACCCGCTCTGTAACTTTACATGATCTGACACTTCGTGGCTGAGTTGCTGAAACACTTCCACTTTTCAATAATACTTCTCACAGATGATCGTGGAAAATCTAGGAGGAAAGAAATTTTATGAACTGACTTCTTGCAATTTTGACATCCTGTTACATTACCACGCTCAAACTCGGTGAGCTCTTTAGAACGACCCATTCTTTCACAAGTGTTTGTAAAGGCAGACTGCATGACTAGGTGCTCAATTTTATACACCTGTGGCAATGAGACTGAATGAAACACCTGAATTCAATGATTAAGAGGTGTATCCCAATACTTTTTTCCAATAAATTTTATTATCCCTTAAGAGATTGAAATTATCCATCTATGCACTTTGAAAAGGGGACATAATCAAATGAACTGTGATAATGTCATAATTTGAAGTGTTCTTAGTTGTGTTGTGCCAGAGTTCCAAGAAAGCTCTCATCTGAATTGAACTGAAGAGAGACAGTGTATCTGTGTGGATTTCTAGGGAATTACAAATTAATGTGTCATTCTACCATAATACGGAACTCTAGGATAGCAAAACATGCCAGCGTGCATGAGGCGTGTCACCGTATTTGGAAGACTGATGTCCTCATTTCAGTATAGTTAAGCAATAAAATGAAAATTCAGTGTGTCAAAATGGATTTTTTTCACAATAAATTACACTGATGTGAATGTAATGATGTTTACCTTTGTTTCAATCACTGCAAAGGTAAATCAAACTAACAAATCAACAAGAGCAAACAAGCAGAAAAAAATATGATGATGCCAAACATGTTTATCTTATTAAAAAAGAGGAAAAAAGGAATGAACAACATTTTATCTGACATATCTGACATGTTGTATGTATTGTATGTATTTATGTGTATGTGTGTATTTACAGGTTGTAATCCCATATAATTCCATGCTGGATCACTTTTCAGCATGTTTTTTTGTTTCCCATTAAAACCTGTAATATAAACCGCAGCTAATGATTAACTCTTCACATGTACTGACTTTTCCTCTAACATCTCATCATTACAGTGCATGCTCAGTCATGTCCCTGTGTGTATAAATACAGGACTGCACCATGTGTCGCTACACACTCACACTGAGAGAAATTCTGAGCACCATCAGAAGAGCTTTAAACCACCTGATCATCTACATCTTCATCTCCAGCTTCAGCTTCCTAAAGGTAGGACTACATAAAAAGTCATACTTAGACTTTGTATTCAGTAGTGTGCACTTACATGTTACTATAAGAGTATTAATTATTGTAACTGTGAACATGTTGAACATATTAAATGAATATTAAAAATGTGACATTGTATATTTTTGTTTTGGCAGTTGGTCTAAGTGTAGTGTCATATATGCCTTATATATATATATATATATATATATATATATATATATATATATATGTAATAAAACATTTATAGATTATAGACTAATAGACTGTAGTAAAACTGTTACAAACTAATAGATGGTACAAAATGAGTTATAGATGAATAGATTATAATAAATGTATTACAAACTAATTGCTTATAATAAATCTATTACAAACTATCAGATTATTCTAAATCTATTATAAACTAATAGATAATACTAAATGTGTTACAAACTAATAGATTATACTATTATTATACTAATAGATTATAGACTAATAGATTATAGCAAAACTGTTACAGCTTAATTCTTAAAAGGTTTTTAAACTTCACTACACTAGTGTTAATCTAACACATCATCCCTGCCAGAACAAAACCTTCTATCTTCAAGAACGTAACTTTACAGGCGAAAGAAAAACATTCTTAATTCTCAGTGTATGTTAGTGTAACAAGATTTTATTCAAAACCATTTTGAACCATTTCTACTGGTCCATTCACCATTAAATTTTGACACATTGTAAACAGCAGCTTGTAAACAACAGGAAATGTGACAAAAATGGTGATACGAGGTTTTGTTCTGACAACGATGATATGTGGGTGTGATTTACCTTACTAGAGTTGGTTTAAAAATCATAGATAGTTTAGAACCACAATCAAGGAAGAATATGGTAACATGTTCTTTCAGCCATCAATAATGAAACTAGGCGATTAACCAAAATATAGAATGTAAGCATGGAAAGATTGGAGGAAAGACAACACAAAGATGGTGAATAAAACAAGGGGAAAGATGCACCCAATACACAAATGGTGAAGCCAGAAACCAATACAATCTTGTATCTTGGGCTGATCTCTCCAGCTGCTAATGGCAACAGACTAAATTTCAACATGCTTGAAGATTTCATTTGAATAGATAAAAACATAAAAAAAATTCCCCTAACTCAAAATGGTTGAATAGTGTGGGATATGTTTAGTACAACAGGCGTAACTTATTTGGTATGCTTCTCCTGATTACTGGTGGAAATCGAATGAGACTTGGAAAAACACAGTTCATTTTCTTTTATTCTGTTTATCCTGTTTTCATTTTGGTCTTTTGTAATAATTTGCTTTATTTCTGTATGCTGGTTTATTTTAGGGTTTACCCTCTCATCCTCTGTGAGAATAACTTCCTATTTATGATGCTGATCTACATAGTATTGGATGGATTATGCAATTTAATTAATTGATGAATTTCAGCTTTTTAAGAATTTCTTCTTGCTGTAATTTGGCGTTTGATTTCTATGTTCTTGTTTTTCATGAACAGGACAGATGGCATACCTGCTACTCGTTCTATGTACCCTGATTGGCTGGTCCCAAGCATTTCTGCCCTCCCCATCACTGGAAGTGGAGGGCTTGACTCATGCTGATATCACAGAGGAGGCGCTGCTTGCAGTAGCAATGGATGCTTGTAGAGAAGAAGCACAGAACGAGGGACGGACCTTCAATCCACCAGTGAGATCAGTGATTTCACACTCTTGAACACATTTACTTATGACCACCCATTTAGCCTAAAGAAGAAAAAGGCTTACAGAATATGTGTTTTTTCCTTTGCGTGTCTGCTGTGTGTGTGTTGTAGGCCCTCCTGAACCCGGAGAGCCTGCTGCGTGCATGTTTAGGTGTGTCAGAGGAGGCAGATCTTTCTGGGTCAAAGTTCCGGGAGCTGCTGAATGAGATCATTTCTGAGAACATTTTCATTGACAGAGACCAGCCCTTCAGCTCCGCCCACCACTTCAATGATGAAGTAATTGAAAGAGGGCGGGACATCATTACTCAGGGTGTTTCCATCGTCAGAGCCAGCCTGAGGCAGGACAACTTGCAGGCAGCTAGAAGGGCACTTGGGGCGGTCACCCACACTCTCCAGGTGAGAAGAAATGGCCATCATGAAACAAGAAACATAGATTTTATAATAAACAGTACATTGTTTTTGAACTCATCTCAGATGTTCTGAACCAGCAGGGCCATTATTCATCACTCTAATATAGTGGCCTGGTCTTATACCATAGCACCTCTTCCATAGCACCCCTGCTGCTTTTTTGTGGTCATCCACAATCTAGTTGAATGTTGCTCATATCATAACCCTACTTGTTTCTCGTTATTTATGCAAATCCCTTTATCCTAATAATGCACATAAATCTATGTGCTAAATCTAAAGCTACTTGAGTGCAAAAAAAAACCTGTCCTTATGAATGAAAATACATGACCAAACTGCCAGACATATTACTGGCATCAAGCACATCAACCTAGAGATAAACAGCGCAAATAAATGCCTTTGATTCAGGGACTAGCCAGCAAGCTAGCTTAGTGAGCCGGTCTACACCACCGTGGTTTGTATTCACAACTTGGCAAAAACAGATAAAAGGAGAAGAGGAAATGTGTGCTTAGAATAACTTATTCTGCAGCAGAACAGGACAGTCTTTAAAAAAGCTACCGCTTTCCCTCCGTCAGGAAATATCAAATTAAACCACCACCGAATTACGTCATTTTCGTTATTGATTTTTAGACTCTAGATAACCGATTTCATGAACATTCACACATTCAGTGTTTGCTCACAAAAAGAGCCCAGGTTCTGCTACCTAACATACCATCTTACCTCTGATTACAAACAGCACCCAACAGAACCATCTTTAATCATGTTTAACTTACATTTGTAGTTTCTGCTCAGGGTGATTAAAGGCATCACTGAGCTCTAACCCTTGTGTTGATGTGTTTGTTACTCAGTGGTCTGGTGGACCCACCACATTATTGTTTTATTTAAATCAATACAGCCATAACAATTTATGTAAAAATACCAGAAGTTTAAAATATCACAAGTGCCCAGCGTAGGGTTTTCCTTTAGCAGCTGTAGCCAGTCAGCAGCCTGTCCATGTTGTCCACCTTCACAAACACGCACACATGTACAAACACACATACACAGACAGACATACACACACACTAACAGCAGGCCATGTCGGAGGAGAACAGAGTGAAGGACACAGCACCTCCACATGTGTAATATAACTGTGTAGGGGGTGAACAGTGTGAAGACACTGAAAATGGGTTATTTTATTTGTTCCTCACAGAAAATGAGGAAAGGCCAAGAAATCTGAAGTTGAGATAATAATAACTCGCATTATTTTTTCTTTTGGTAAACATTGAAAATGGTCCCACAGATGCAAACACCACACAAGTGTTAACTTCATATGTCCAAGTATTTAAAATATGGATTTGATTATTGTTTGCACTGGAATGTTTAAGTGGCTGAGCTGATTATGGTACTGTCATACTTCACATATGGGTATCATGGTTAGGTGGGCTATTTGGTGTCAGTTGAAACATGCATGCAGTATAACAGTTTGGAATCACTTCTTTTTGTAGATTAACTGTAATAATATAATATATACACTACCTTGTAAAGGTCTGAGTCATCTGAGAAAATGACCTGTAAAACCATTTATCTGGGCAGAAAGTGTTAATTTGTTCTGTTGGGTAATTTCCAACAGCATGATTGAAATGAATATTTAGAAATGTGTTTAAAAAACACAATTTCTGTGATGAGATACACCCCAAAAACTAAGAAGACCACACATTGAATTTCAAAAGAAAAAAGGTTTATTAAATTTAAGAAGAAAATGTTTTTCAGGATTACAGGAACATGAAAAGTAAAAATATATTAAAGTAAGGATAAAAATAGAGACAAATAATAATAATAAAAATAATCTTAACAGTTTTAATGGTTTATAATCAGTAGGCTAAAGCTCTGAAAGAGAGAGAGAGAGAGAGAGAGAGAGAGAGAGAGAATGAGTGTTGGGTGTCTTCCCCATCTAACACAGCAAGAGTCGCTCTCAGTCAGGCCAAAGGCCTTGAAGGTTCCCAAATGGTCTCCTATTATATGATGATGGAAATACGCACTTTTAACTCCTGTACCACATGGATGTGATGGATAAAGTCTCATGAACAGTGTCTCAAAACGATATATAAAAGCTGCATCCAACATGATCCAATGACTGAGCCCACAGTGACAGAAACCTCGAGCAGAGCTAAGGCTCAAAATGGCAACCCCATTCTCCACTGAGTGACCAAGACAGTGAAGCGACACTGAGTTTCTGTTGAACTAGACAGCTGAAAGGAACAGCACAAGCCCTTAAATCTCATACAGTCTCTGAAAAGAAGTCATAGATGGCCTGTATGTGATTTTACGCCGTGTAGAACAGGCATGCTTAGGCCATACTGAGGAGAGGTCATCAATACATCACTCAGTGTCATCAAGCAGGCCTGGTCACTGGGCTGTCTTTGTGTTCTGCTCAAACTGCAGTTTACACTCCAACAACCAGCCTGGGGTCGTAACATGGTGTAGGAAGCAGGAAAAGAAAGAAACAGCATCTCTTATCACTCCGCTCCTCCAGATCCAGAATGAATGTCCTTGTTATGCACTGTAACCTCAGTTAACACATCAGTCTTTATTTCCACATCAAAGATGCAGCCTGGCAGTGGAAAGATTAAATTAAAAACTCATAATTTTACTTTGAGTTTAAAAGATTTGAAAGGATCTAACTTAAACGCATAGAAGCTTACAAAGTCAAAGGTTTTAGTCCTGAAAAATTGTTCAAATTGGAAATGACCAAAGCTCAGCCAGCTCAGCTGTTCCACAAACACTAACATTAGAATACATACAAATGAACAATCCATTTTAATTTGATGCGTGTTAGCTTTACCATTTCTCAAAGCTCTCTTAACGAAAGGCCAGTACTTACACTTACTATTCATTACCTATTTTATGTAATCCGTCCTTCATTAAATGAATACAGTTGTGCTAGTAATGGAAATAAAGAAATACAGGGAATGGCTGGACTGCAGCAAGAAATCAGGAACCAAACCTGTGTTCTTCTAACAGTATTCATCTAACCTGCATACTAAACTAGACTGGTAAATAAAAACAATGTAGCATATTTATTATTTGAAAATAATATAATATACAATTGCAAAACATTTTGGGGATACTTACCAAAACTGGTCTGTCTGCTAAACATACAGCATGAATTTGAAATGTGCATCTCAACTGTATTAACAGGCTGTGTTACCATGTTTACCAAACCTGCCGAGACGTCTTTTGATTTCGATTGTAGCCAATTGTTCTAAAGTAATGTGTTTGTTTAACTGGTAACTGATAGGGTGGCACAACTCTCAGACTTCCAGTCTGTCCAGGTGTGTTTGAGCCAGGAATGGTGAAAAAACATGAACTAGCTAGGTATGCATTAGGAATGGTTAGGAACCACACAATTATCCATTATAATGGCCAAATTAGTGGTTTTGGCCATTTTAGCCATAGCTGTTGCTACGAAGTGCATAAAACCAAGCATACAACCAGTCTCCACAGACAAACACTGGCAGTACAATAGGGCATGCTTAGGAACTCTGACTTCCCAGAAGAGTGGAGGCTGTAGCAACTAAGGAGGATCCAACTCCATATTAATGGTCATGGTTTGTGAAGAGATGTTAAGCAAGCACACGTGGATACGATGTTCATATGGCTATGCAGCATATTTCATATTTTAGCTCCTTCTGTTCCTCAGTGTGCTGAACATTCTCTGGCTTCATGTTTTGTTGTCTGCAGGATTTCTACAGTCACAGTAACTGGTTTGAGCTGGGAAATCTGGACCCTTACCCAAACTTACTGCGCCCTGACCTTCCACTCCAGAATCTTGCAGGTGTGTGTATGAGACCATATGTGAATATATGTGTATGTTACCACGCAGTCTGACAAAGTTTCTGTTTCTGTTTAGACGCAAACACCCCAACCTGTAATGACTGTCAGGAGAAGGTGTGTCCTAATGTTATTCTACCCGAGATACTCAGTACAAACACACTGACCTCAGGATACCTGAGCTTCACACCACAAGGTACGACCCACAAAACACACGCAAACACTGCTTACAGCTTCACTGATGGAGCAAGTATGGAGTTATTCTGCATTCTCTCTCTCTGTTTAGGTAAATGTAACCATGGTGACAGCATCATGGGTGGGATCAATAAGGACTTTGGTGGTGGTGGTCTGACCTCGGATGGGACTGACCCTCACCTGGCTGCTTTTGCTGTTGCAGCTGAAGCCACGAAAGACCTACTGCAGAACATTCGTATCGCATTTGGAAACACGGTGTTCTTACGGTATATACTCCAGTCTATGTGTGTAGACACATACAAACCTTTACAGGAGCAACCCCCCCCCCAAACACACACACACACACACACACACTCACACATGCATTCATTCACTTGCCCCTACACACGAACATACCAGGTAGACTCAGAATCTCCAACATCCTAGTGCAAATGCACAAACTGTTCACAGAAGGCTTACAAAAACTGGCTAATGAAGGCTCTTCCATAAAATGCTAACTTATAGACTACAAAACAACATAAATTGATATAAATTACATTAGTCAGTAAAGGTTTGGGTTTAAAAGGTATATGTGGCAATGGTAAGGTTTAATAGCACAGGGTAAAACAGTTCATTCTGTGCTTTGGTGCATGGTGGAGGTAGTTTTATGCCTGGCCATGTGGTGAAACTAGCTTACACAGCTCATTTAATTGGTTTGTAGCCAGCAAAACTAAATATAGCAGCTCTTTAATGATTTTCAATAAGTGTGAACGTATCATGTCTGCCTATTAACTTAAGCAATAGAAAACATCAGGTAGTTTGTTATCGCAGTTACTATGACAGCTGCTGAAGGTGAGTGATTATCGTAGCTGTGATATTATTTATGATGACATTTGACCTTAAGTGTTGTTTTTTTTAGAACAGTTTTGCAAAGTAAAGAAGCCATGAATTTTGTTTTCAAATATATGGTTTTGTAAATTACTTCTGCCCAAAAAGTAGTTCTGGCAGCTTAGAGTAAAGAGATCATTGCTGCAGCCAGTAGTCAGTAAAATGAGACAGTATCAGATATAATGACATGGGTAGAGTGCCGAACTAAACAAGATTGGTTGGAAGATCTGCTAATCTACATAATCTAAACCTTTAATCTAAATAATCCAAAATAACCTAGACTCAAAATAGCCAATGTATCAGCAAAACAGTGATCCTGGCAGTAACACTCTCTCTCTCTCTCTCTCTCCCTGTCTCTCTCTCTCTCTCTCTTACAGTATGTTGGGTATTACTCGTTCTACAGTGTTGTGTTTTGTCATTGATACCACTGCTAGTATGACTGATGACGTTGCAGAAGTGCGAAGACTTACCACTAAAATCATTGACGAGACCAGAGGAACTCCAAATGAGCCTTCCCTGTACATCTTGGTTGAATTCAATGACCCTGGTTAGTGTGAACATTTGTACAATATATATATATATATATATATATATATATATATATATATATATATATATATATATATGCATGCAATGATGTGTGTGCTCATTTAAACCCTATTTTTATTTGAAAAAAGCATATAAGACATATGAAATGTTCAAACTGAGAAATTTTATTGTTTTTTGTAAAAAAACTTATGAATACTTATTTCCCTGTTCATATTTATAGCTTCAAAGTCAAAATACATTATGGACACCATATTTTAGGGTCTTTTTTCTCCTTTTTTCTCATACATAATGCTGCTTATTTAACAAAACCAAAAGACGTAATCATTGTTTCCTCTTACTGCTTGTGTTGCATGTACAGCATATATGTATGTATAATGGGTGTATGTGTGTGTGTTTGTGTTTGTTTGTGTGTGTGTGTGTGTGTGTGTGTGTGTGTGTGTGGTGTGTGTGTGTGTGTGTGTGTGTGTGTAGAAGTGGGACCAGTGACCAGTACCACAGATCCAGAGGAAATGAAACGGGTTGTTAATGCCCTTACAGTTTCTGGAGGTGGGGACATTCCGGAGTTAAGCCTATCTGGAATACGGGTAAGAGAGTGTGGAGGTGTGCGTGTGATTATGTGTTCATTTTATATTAATTACTGTAGATGTAATATTTCCCCTGTTGTTTCGTGAATGGTTTTTATGTACTCCCACCAGCTGGCACTCACAACAGCCCCTCCCTCATCAGACATCTTTGTGTTCACTGATGCCCCTCCTAAAGACACAGAACTACTAGACACTGTGATCTCCCTGGTGGAAAGCACCAGGTCTAAGGTGAGTCTGTTTACCACTGTGATGTAAAATGTTTAGGTGTCTTTCTTTATTGTAAACTCTCGCATTTGAAAACTGTGACAAAAGTCCTAAAATTAGTTCTAGCAATTTTCAAGTATATAATAAGCAGTTCATCCACACAGACTGCTATATTATATTTCAGTGCAATGATTCTACCTCACTTGACTTACTGTCTGAAAAGCTCAGACAAACCAGTAGCACAGCTTTCAGATTCATTTTACATGCTTATAAATTGATTTAAATTTACTAAACAGCAAAAAATAAAGAGCTGCCATCACAAAATTATATAAGTTGAGATAATATTATTAACTTTGCAAATGTTTGTCTTGTTTTTTCGTGGTTTAGACCCACCACTTTATTAAGCAGAACCCCCACAGTAATAGGATTTCAGTAGATGGATGGATGGATGGATGGATGGATGGATGGTTGGATGGATGGATGGATGGATAGATAGATATATAAATACATAGATAGATAGATAGATAGATAGATAGATAGATAGATAGATAGATAGATATTTAATTAATCTGGAACCAGTGTACACATTTGAGTCAAGTATATTTTTAAAACTTTTTTTCAGTGTAACAAATGAATTACTAATTGATATTTGCCCTCTGTGTTAATAATAATAAGTAAACTTGAACTAACAGCATGTAGTATGTATGTGTGTGTGCTTGTTTATGTGTCTGTGTGTTTGTCTGTCTTTATGGGACAGGTAACATCCCTCTTGACTAATGCTCTAAACAGAAGAAGGACGAGGAGGAGTGCACTGACGAACCCGACCAACTCTGTTTACCAGCAGCTGGCTCAACTCTCAGGTGGACAGGTCATCGAGGTCACCAAAAACACACTTCCACTGGCCACTGCAGTTATTGAAGACTCCATTACATCTTCAATGGTGAGGAACATTTACTCTTTCATGTGCTCTTTCTATTAATCTCTCTCTACATATATTTCAGTCTTTTAGTTTTCACTACATCATCATTTTTTTCTCCTGGTTCTGTTTTTTCTAGGTGACTGTGCTCCAGGTCGAATCCACACGGCCTGATACTTTCTCCTTCTTGTTGGATCCAAGGCTTCAGAATGTGACCTTATACATCACAGGGCTGTCAATCAACTTCACACTGCAGAACCCTGCAGGTAACACACACATTTACACAGCTACACAGCTACAGAGCTAGATAGTTGGAAGATTACCTTTTAATAAAGCACACATAGTAATTAGGATGATACAAAGGACTGTGGTTAAACGTGTTTGAATGATATTCCACTAGTTCTAATTAGAAACTACTTTTTTGTCTCAGAATAATTCATACATACGTATCAACTTCACCATGTATGTTTGTTAAAATTTCTTTCTAAGACCATTTGGATCAAAATGTCTTTAAGATTATTAAAAACATACACATAATCAAAACTTCTGTCTGATATTCCACTACATTACTGTGTAAAGTCTTCATTGAAATGGCTATTAGGTACAGATTATTTATTTTTCGGCATTTGCAGAAGCAGAAAACATATATTTAACAGGAAATTACACAGCAACCTCAGTGAAATATACTATACTGTAATCAAATGTTTCAGTATTTATTGTGTCCATGCTTTGACTTTATTACATCCTCCATTCTTTCAGTTGTTCAAAGAAATCTTAAAGAAAGGACATTAAAACAAACTCCACTTCAATATGTGCTGTATTTCAGGTGTGGCTCAGAATGATACAGCTGGATCAGGCCCTCTGGCTTCAGTGTTTCCAGTGGGGAATCTATATAGGGTGTCTCTGAATGAAGGGAACCTAACAGGCAGATGGCAGATCACTATCAGATCTCCTCAGGCTTACTCTCTCAGAGTCACAGGTATATAATGAAATAAGAGCCTGGACACTCTGATTTTGGTATTATGGATATGTTATTATGAAGCATTGTGGGATAATGGACAAACGTGTTCATCTGCAGGACGCAGTGCTCTGAATTTTATGTCCCAGTTTGTTGAGGTGTTTGATGGACCACATCCTGGATTTGCTCCGATAGCAGCCAGGCCCCCTGCAGGTAAGCCTGCCTACATTCCTTTACGGCTGCTATCATTTACATATGAAACCCCCTGTTGTCCTCATTCTGATGACTCTGTGTGTCTGTACTACTCTTTGAACGTTTGGAATCGCCTGTCAAATTATATGTGTTACGTTATATATATATGTGCCAATACATTTACATTGTTACCTAGAAAAGCATATGTGGGCTTGTTTGTCAGAGCTTTATAAGACCTGTTAGCACTTTTTTGTTATTTTATATACAAAAAGTAGTTTTATTAACTGTGTATATGTTCTAGATATCAAGGCTTTTGTCTGTGTTATTAAATATTTCAGGTGGTTTGGAATCGACAAGAACTTACTGAGTGATAATTTGTGCTCTTAGAATTATAGATTCTCTCTAGTTTTGAGATATTGAGGTTCAAATATTTCCTCTTAGTACTTAGAATGTTGTGTTTTAAGACATTTCACTCTTAGATGCAATCATTTTAAAAAAGAAAATGAAAATGTTTCTTTTTTCATTTATATCATTAGCGCATCTCAGAAGTGTATAAACTCTTCCTATGTCTAATTTAGATTCTGCAGATTCCATATACATGCAGTCTTAAATGGATCCACTATGAGCTTAAATGTAAAGCAAATGTATCCAGGAATGGCTCGGAGCTCTCGCTTATTTTACTTATATTCACTTACAATATCAACAATACATGTAATTTCACTTTTGCTTATGACTGTGCAATACTCAGTTGTGATAAAAATGTCACATACAACCTTATAAGACCATGACTAATAAATTGTCAATTAAAGATCACTTTTGAAACATGATTTATTCTAGACTTTCTGTGTTTGTGTTTCAGGTCAGAATGCAACTCTCCTGATAACAGTAACAGGTGTTGATATGCTGTTTGGAGTGGAAGTCGGCCTGGTCAGCGCAGACGGAGAGCTTCTGAGGAACACTAGTGTAACGAGACTGAGAGAGGGGACATATCTTGCCAGAGTGCTTCACCTCCCAGACGTCCCCTTCACTCTTCTGCTGATGGGGCAGGAGGCAGACGGACGGCCCTTCCAAAGGCAGTCAAGCACTCAGATCCAGGCATCGCAGATCACAGTGCAGGTCAGGAGCTACAGCAGTGTAAAGGAAAAAGAGATTATGGGTGTAAAACACATTTCAGTTGCTGATGTTCTCCTGTCTTACTTCAATCTGACAGGTCCAGAGGACGGTCGTCTTGGCACCAGGTGAGTCCATAACTGTCCCCTTCACTGTGGAAACCCGCGGGATCGAGGGTGCCATCAATATAAGTGCCCGGGATGATCAAGGATTTGTGACTGCAGTCAATAACAGGTAAATAGTCAAATAGACAAATAAATAATTGAGCCTGGACAGAACAGACCAGACAGAACAGGACAGAACAGATTCCAGTGTCGTTCAACCTGATCTCTGTCTACTGCCTCTGTAACGTATGATCAATTATCATGGACAAAAAATATGCCTGTAAAAACAGAAAACCCGACTCAAAACACGTTTATAATAGAAGCCAATGGGAAAGCACTGCAACACCTGCCCATTTGCCCATTTCTGTTATACATACTGAGTGAACAGGTTTTCTATCTTTTTTCTGGGAAATACAGGGAAACACATCAAAATTACTGTCTGTGGTAGTTGTTCGCTACAAGGGGAGATTATTATGTATTATAAAGAAATAAGTATCTGTTTAATAAATAGTTTAATTTCGTGGTATGTAAATTATTTGTTCAATCAACAGTATTACTACCTGTTCACCTTACCTTTTACCACTAACCTTTAAGAAGTTGTATTGAAATTGTTGTCTGTTGTAATGGACTGTATGCTACATATGGAGATAAGATTGAAAAACACTAGACTACAGAGAAACTGGACTAAACACATTAAACACATTTAAACACTGCAGCCATATTATGAATATGATTTGACCAGCTGTTCTTTTAATTGAATGGCCTAGGCTTAATCTGTATCTGCTTAGAGCTAACTGTGTATCTGTTTGTCACAGATTAAATGTAGGCGCAGCAGGTAACGCTACTGGCTTAGTGAGTCTGTCAGTTCCCACTGGAACCCCATCAGGCACCACCTCAGTCGTGACCATAGATGCTGAGTCATCTGCAACTCGTCAGTCAAACTTCGCCCTCCTCCGTGTGTCTGTCATCCAAAGGGTAAAAACTCTCTATATAAAAGATATATTAAAAGAAAGGAAGAAAAAAGGTGTTCAGCCAGTAATTTTTTTGCTGAAATTGAAGTAGCATTATTCAATTGGGAGAAAAAAACATATTAAACAAGCTCTTTGAATACTCTTTCAACACGCTCATTGTCATCAGATTCATCTGCACAGAGAATGGGTCCAAAGTACATCTGATGGTACAAATTGTTTTGCTGCATGTTGCATGCAATCACAGATTTCTGCCAGAGAGGTCTCCAAATCCCTAAAACATAATGTTCCATACATCAGCTCATTTGAAACAACAGTAGAAAAACTGTACAGTCAATAGACAAAAGACTATGAGTATAATGAAACATACAACAAATAACATGCTACAATTTTCAATTCATATTAAATATTTTGTCAAGTTATCTGCCTTGAAATTTCAGCTTCACTTTTGAAATGCAGTCATATGTAAAAGTTTGAACACCCTTTTTATATGTTTTGTTTATTTTTTAAGTGAAAATACACGTACGCTACAGTTTAAAAAAGTTTAAAAAAGAAACTTTTCTGCAAACTTCCGTGCACTATTTATTTACTGAGTTTGACATATTGGAAAAAAATTAAACATTGAGTCTAAAATGTTTTATGTTTTATTTTTTGCTCAATATGTTATATTGAGACAATAATTGGTAATTGTACGTTAAAATCTGGAGAAGTGTGTTCTTTGTAGAGGAGTTTGATGAATTCTGGATTTTTTTTTATAACTTCATTCTTATATCGTACACTTTTTTAGACATTTTAGAATCTTTGTTCATTATTCTGGACACAACTTAAATTTTGAATCTTTACTTACAGCTTTCTGGTGTCCTGCTAATTATCTGAAACCCATGAAGTTGTATAGAGCGAGCACATTAGAATCATTTCATACATTTGTCTGTCAACCCAGTTTGGTATTATATTGTTGAAAACCAAACTTTTGAGCCGTTATTCCAAACTTTTGAACTCAGGAGGTAGAAAAACGTAATAACAAAGAGTAAAAAAACATGGATCTCTGAATAAAATCAGTGAAGGAACAGTAAAAGTATTCAGAGTAGTTAGACTAAAAGTGAGATAAAAAAGATTTGTTTTTAGCCTGTATGTAACAATTGTTACAGTATCTGAATTTAGAACATTCATTTAATAATATTGCTATCAACAATATGATTCCTGCATACAAATGTCTATTCTGGCGCTTTATGAATGCAATAATGTGTGTATGTTCTGCAGGACATTGATGTCACTCCACCTGTGTGTCGTGTGCTGAATGAAAGTTTGGACTGTCCTGTCCCGTGTGGGAATGCTACGTGGGAGGTGACGTTACTCATGTCGGATGGTAACGGCACTGGACTCCGGGATCCTCATATATCCATCACCATCCCGGACACACCCATCAATGAGACGTCCACTGCGATCATCGATCAGGTTAAGGATGAAAATGGCTATAACGCAACTTTGCTGACCTACAGAGCGTCCTGCTGTGTGACCAATGTGGAGATTTCTGCTGTGGACAATGAGGGCAATGTGGGCCGGTGCGACTTCAGCATCAGACGGCCCAGCACCACGGGGCCTCCTCAGACCACCATCAGCTCAACCACAAGTCACCCAACCACGAGCAGACCATCCTCCAACATCAGCCCCACAGCTCCCTCCAACGGCCCTAGACTAACTGTATCACTCTGGACCACTTTACTACTGCTGGCCCTCACAGCTCTAATGCTCTAGTTCATATTTAGTGTCCTATACAGATACTAGTACTTTATACACTTGTTTCAATACATACAAGCCAAATACACATACAAACTGCTTTACCCTCCAATGCTGTTTAAGCCATGTAAGTTTGGGTACTCATTCAATGCACTTTCCTGCTAAAACAGGAGGTGGAACACTATAGTCTTTGTGTTAACACTTTATTGCCATTTCACATATTGTCCCAATTGTTTTGGAATTAGGATAAATGGTATCTGTCTGGTCAGCTCCATCATATTTTGAGGTGTTTTACAAATAAAGTCAAACATGAAGATCTACCTGAAGCACATGACTCCACTTTAACTCACGTACATTTACAGCACTGTTATACAGAGCAAATCCTTTTTTCTCTTAAAAGAAACAACCTTAAACATTTTTTAAGTGGTTCATCCAGGCTCAGCCAGAGTGCTTTCTACAGGCTCTCTCTCCCTCTCTCTCGCTAACATAGGAAAACATAGATTAAAAAAAGTAACACATTGTGATAAGAGATAGTTCAGAACATGTAAGAATTAACTACAAACACATGGACTGCACAGAGCTTTCATAGACGGTCATTATATTTTAACCTCTTAAATGGCCAAGCCAAAGTTTTAATACACACCATGACCTAAGAAGACCTCCACCAGTTTGCATTAAAATCCTAATAAACGTGAAATTTAAGAAATGTAAGAAACCTGGAAAGGCACAGTCAACCATTACATTGTTCACCTAATGACTTTTGGACTAATAAACTTTATTGGAGATTTCAACGATGAGAAATGAGGAAAAAGAAACCACAGACAATAAGCAATGAGATAAAATGATTCTGTGTAAAAGGAGCTACTTTACAATTAATTTCCTGCTATAAAAATGGACTCTTACTCAGTGATGACTGAATGTTTGAATTATGTGGTTCTACTGGTATCATGAGTTAATCATATGCCGGCTGCTATCAACAATATGATTCCCAGCAGCCCTGGAATATAGAGCAATGTGTAAAAGTCTGAAACCACCCTTCAATTAATTAAATGAACAGTCAAAGGGCCATTCAGTACAAGTTCAGTTCCAGCATCAGGACAACTAAACACATCAGATATTTCAGTATTTAGTGTGTCAGTACTTTGCCTTTATTACAGCTTCCTTTTTTTTAAGACACTGTGCGTGTGCATTACAAAGAAATCTGCAAGGATATTTCTCCACACCTTCAAAGTTCAGTCTTAGAAATTGGTTGCATGTTCTGCTTCTCATGAATACAAGTGATCCCAAACACACTTAATGATGTTTGAGGTCTGAACTCTGGACTGGTCAGTCTGTTGATTCTGAGATCACCAGCAGCTTCTTTGTTTTGCATATTTCCTTCTTTCTTGTCTACTTCCCTATCACAGTGGTGTCTACTGGGTCTTGCACTGTCGTTAGGAGGTCCATTTTCTCTGTATCTTTGAATAATGTCATGAGCTCTTGTTTTTCTCCTTTGCTTATTTTTCTTTTTCTTTATGCAAGTGGATTGTCTTACACCTAATCTCCTTAATGACCATGTTGACAGGACATTAAATAAATGAAAGGTGCGCTCTAACTTTTGTACATTACTGTATATAAGAATGCATTATATATTAAATAAATATATCATTGTTGTCGGAACAAAAGCTCCTATCTCCAAAATGGTAACTTTACAGAAGAAGGAAAAAACCTACTTTTAATGTAAGTCAATGGAACCAGACTTTTTCCAAGTCATTTTGGGCCGTTTCTTTTGGTCCATTCATCATGAAATTTACACACAATGTAAAGGACAACAGGTGTTAAAAAACATCAAAAATGGAGGTTTTCTTCTGACAGCAGAGATACAGTATATATGTTTCAGTTTTCACTGCATCATCAATTTTTTCTCCTGGTTCTGTTTTCTCTAGGTGACTGTGCTCCAGGTTGAATCCACAAGGCCTGATACTTTCTCCTTCTTGTTGGATCCAAGGCTTCAGAATGTGATCTTATACATCACAGGGCTGTCAATCAACTTCACACTGCAGAACCCTGCAGGTAACACACACATTTACACAGACACAGCTACAGAGTTAGATAGGTTTTGCTCCGACAGCAGCGATATTATTCTTTAAGAGATCCAAACCATTCATCTTTGCAATATGAAAAGGGGACATAATCAAATGAGGTGTGATAGCGTAAAGACAATATGATTATTTTAAGTGTTTTCAAGCTTTAATGTGAATTGAACAGAAAGCGATATGGCTGCTGAAAAGAAAACTGTTTCTGTGTGGAAATCGCGGGTGTGTTGATGCGTCATTCTGCCTTAAAATGGAACTCCAGGAGGGAAAAACGTGCCTGCAAGCATGAGGTGTGTCACCATATCTGGACAACTGATGTCAGTAAGTACAGTTAAGCAATATAATTCAGTGGGTCAAAGTGATTATATTATTTTCTGTTCAAACACACAAAATTATGCTTATGCAAAAGTAACAATGTTTACATGTTTAGACACTCCAACACATCACAAACTAGTAAGTTGAAGTAAATCAGTCATTGTTGGTGTTGTTATCAAACAAAGCAACACCAACAATGACAAATTAACCACAATCACAGCGAGACAAAAAAAATATGGATTATAATTAATACAGAAACATGTTTATCATGTTTAAAAAATAAGACCAGTAATACAGGGTGTCCCAAAAAATTGACATCATTTGAGATGTGAATATCTGAGTAACTAGTTATAGACAAACAAAATTAAATAGGCTTCAATACAACAATACAAGATTTATTTATCAAAATTTGAACAAGAAATTCAGAGGGATGTAGATTTTATAACCGATTTCACAGCTTCACAAATGTAATATCTTCCTGATACTGGTGGTCGTCCAGATCCCTTTGCCTGGCACAGACAGCCTTCCTCTTTGATTTTTTGTGCCATGTCCAAATCTGCTTTCCAGTTGGTGCATTTTTATTGAATTTTCTCGAAAATGCATGCTGCACACTCTTGTTTGACTGTGGTCGAGCATATTCTAACATACAAAATGCCTTTTCATTTCAAGTGAACGCCATTCTTCAACCTGAAAAAAAACATTTAAAAATTAAACTTGGTTAGTTTTTACACATTTTGTTAAAATTTGAGATCATTTGAGGGAGAATTGGCTGTTATTAGACTACAAAATGGTGTCATTTTTTTTGGGACACCCTGTATATCTAACATAGATTTACTGTATGCCTGTATGTAATGTATGTATTTTGTGTAAATGTGTATAAAGAGGTTATAGTCCCACATAATCCCATGCTATTTCACTTTTTCAGCATTTGTTTCCTGCTTAAATGTGTGTGTGCAATATGAATCACAGCTACTCATTAACCAGACATGTGCACTGACTTTTTTACTGACAACAGTGCACGCTCAGTTATGTCTCTGTGTGTGTGTGTGTGTGTGTGTGTGTGTGTATAAATACAGGACTGCACCATGTGTCACTACATATTCTGAGAGAACTTCTGAGCACCATCACAATAGCTTTAAACCCCCTGATCATCAGACCTTCATCTTCATCTTCCTAAAGGTAGGACTGCATAAAAGGAACAGTGATGTGTTATACTCAGCAGTGTGCACTGACACATTAATATGAACGTATATCATTGTACATGTGAACATGTTAAACATATATCAAATGAATATATTAAAATTGTCATATTGTATATTTTGTTCCTCTAAATTTAACTAAAACAGTTATAGAGTAAAATATTACAGTAAAACTTTTTTAGGCTAATAGATTATAGTAAAACTGCTATAGACTAAAACATTATAATAAAACTTTTATAGTGTAGTAGATTATAGTAAAATATGTTATGAGGTAATAAATTATAGTAACACTGTTATAGTTATAGTTATAGGTTAATTGATTATAACTGTTATAAGATAATAGATTATAGTACATCTATATTAGAATTACAGTAATTGTCATCAGATTCTGAAGTTATGTTTTTGTTCTGTCACCATTACCTTATGGAGATACAGAGAGATAGTGAAAGTAATTGATACTTAATTAACGCTTAATTGAGATCAGACTGTCCTTGCTAATCCAGCGAAGATGCTTTTTCCTGAAGATATTTATTCCCTTATGTTTACAAATCAAATCTTTACTCATTTAAATGAAAGACCTGTCAATTGCACTGTGTGAAAGATGACCATTTTAATTTATGTCTAATCGTTTTCTTGTCTGATCATTTGTTAGTATTAGGGATGCCACTTTTTCTTTTCCGGTATTGATACTGAAACCTTGAACACTGGCTATATTTAAAGTACTGGCTGTAATTGAAGCAGATTCATTATTTTTCTCCTCTGATATCAGATGTTTCTGTGGATACAGACCCGATACCGATACCTGTATCAGATCAGTGTCATCTCATATTATCATAAAGGGGCTGTTAATTTGATTAGGCTGAGTGCCTAATTGAGGAAGCAGTGTGTTTAGAAATAGGCTAAGCTACAAGGCCACAGACTTACCGTTAGCAAACAAGGAAACTCTGACTAACAGACATGAAGCAGGAACTGAAGGATGCTTACAGGAAATGCTTAGCTTTTAAAACATTGGACAGTAAACAATACTGTTGAATAAAACTCAGAAACAGTTGGAAAAATAGCACTAAAGATAAATAGTAGTGATTAAATATTTAATCTCCCCCAAAACAATTCTGTTGATATAAAAGTAAAATTGGCTAAACTTAAATCTGCTACCACGCTTCCAGCACAACTCATTGAAGTTCAAGTAACTTGATTTACTAGTGTTGATTTAACATATATTAGTCCAACTTATCTTACTAGATTTGATTTAAAAGTGGTCAGTTAAGTGCATTAAGCAAAATAAAGAATGTAAGTCTCTCCAACTCATAATGGCAACAGACTAATCTAAAGGTCAATATGCAATATATCAAAGATTGCATGTGATCACATAAAATTATCAAAAAGATTTCCCCTAACTCAAAATAGCTGTGGGATATTTTAAGTACCA